GTCCAAGGACTTATTTGTTCCAAAAAAAAGTCTAAGGACTTAATCATTCCAAACAAGAAAGTCCATTGGTTTTTATTGTACTTTTCCCTTTCATATATGAAACATATATGACCGTTTCAAATATATGAATTGCACATGGGTTTTAAAAGGAAGCATATTGACAAAACCCACAACCGGTGGGAGGAAGAGTCATTAAAATTAACCACAAGGGTGGTCTCTGATTGGTTTGAGCTTGGCTCCAAAGGTCAAAAGTATCAGGAGGTCTCAGTCTCAAATCCAAGAAGGAATAAAAATCCCCTTGTAGCCACGGAGGTTCAAATGCGGTGACGACGGGCTACCCACGAAGGGAGCGGTCGCTTTGGGATTAGTCAGCTCGCATAGCGCGTTGGATATCCTGGTTAATAAAAAAAACTACTTAATTTATACAAACTAACTTATTTACACATATCATTGTACATTAAGTTGAATTAGCATGTGGTTATCTTGTTTAAAAAGGCAAAAACTCACAGACCTACAGATATCATATCAATACTTTAAACGTACAACTTCATAGTCGATGAGATTAAATTATACTGTTATTTAACCGAAAGTGTTATGGAGTTGTCTTTAGAAGCTTGTGTGCGGTCCTTGGTATTGTTACTAAGCTGACAAACTCGAGACTACAAAAGCCAAATGAACAAATACGAACATGTAAGATACTACCATCTATTTATCGGCATTGTGTACAAGTCTAGAATATTCTACCTAGATATTTATGTAAAAAGATCTTGAGACAACTCCTAGAAGATTGAGGAGTTTTCTAGAATGTGTTTGGTTCTTCTTGGTACTCCCGAATTAAATGTTCACATTTTTATTTTAGTTTGTCTCAACATAAGTGTTCGCTTCCACAAGTAATTTTTGTTCCATTCTTACCCTTAATTATGAGATAGAGAAAGTTTATTTCTCTCCATTATCAAGAGTAAAAGTGTCATTTAGTTATTTGAAAAGTGTAATAATTACATATGTATATATATGGGCCTAATCAAATGAGAATTATTTAGTTTGTGGTAATTGTGAGATCCAACGTGGACCAATCATTCATGATAATTAATATGATTTCTTAAAATAAATATGAGGGTAAGTTAGTAAATATGATTTCTTAGTAAATTAATATGATTTCAAGTTACTTTAATTAGTTTAGAATTCCAATTTTACATTTAAGTCCTCTCTCTCTCTCTCCCAAATTCCTTTATCTATCTATCTTCCCACTAGATCCGATTCAAACCCAATCGGAAAACCACCCTCATCATTGCCAAATCCAACGATAGCGACTCCATCGACGGCCCTGACCGCTTAATATCCATAAACAAAGATGTGTGTGTGTGTCTTTGTGAAAGAGCGACTTACAATCAAATATTGAACAAGGGGAACGATCTGGACGAGGTCATTGAAGAGAAGACGGTCGACATTGCTGGCAACAGTAGTGGCGGTGGAACTGGAAAAAGCGGAAAGATTACGGCGGTGAGAAGGTGAAGAAGGGCGGAGATCTTCGCCAGAAAGCCATTAAGTTGGTTCTCCACCACCAAAACCGAAAGTAGCATTGTCCTGCTCCAGATCAAAGTGTTGCGATGATTGATGATACATTCATGGATCTTCGTTTTCACAAAATCAACCAAAATTAGGGCTCCAAAATGGGAATCAGATCAAGGAAACGATTTCAAGAAACTGAAACAGAAAGTGAAACTGAAACAGTGGTAATATAGTGTAAGGTTTAGTATCACAATGGTAATATAGTTGGTGTGAGTGGTATCATAGTGGTACCCCAATTGATACCACATTCGGTTTCACAATGCATCTTGTATGTATTTTTGGTATCACAACGTGGATTGTCTGTATGTATCTCTTAAATTTATATTATGTTTTTAACGTTTGGGTTGGTATCATAGTTCATATCACAATGGTATCACGGTGATATCACATTGTATATCTTTGTGATTATTTGGTACCGGCCGAAATAATGTTTACCGGAGGTTGGAGAGAGGAGTTCTAAAAATATCTAGAATTCCCTCTAATGATAATTTCAACTCAAATTACCAAAATTGTTAGTTTTCTAATTTATCCATTGATATGTGGTTGAGATTGGATCTCACAGTTGCCACAAACTAATCAGTTCTCCTTGAATGGATATATATATATATATATATATATATAACAGTGTGCCATTTTAATCGTAGACATTTATTTTGGGAGTGATATTTAATGCCAAGTCTAGAGAAGGATGCAACTTACGATACAAATAATCAAAACCCTATATTAACATGTTAAATCTTGGTTTATGAAGATGACCTCCAAAATTTTGGGGGCTATTATTTGCATTTGGGCCCAAATTTATATAGCCCAACCTATGAACTCACCTTAATGAAGATCTATCTAATTTCCGTTCAAAATCAAAAGCGGCTACTTAAATTTTATGAAAGATATTAAATATTATAACAATATAATTAATGTTGTAATCTTCAAAAATGAAGAATTTTTTTGGAAATGAGTAAAATTTTCTTTAAAAAAATTTGACTTTTAAATTCTTTATTTTGAAGCATCTGTTAAAGATGCTTTTAGATGTAATTTACCGAGGAGTAACAAATTATAAGTTCTAAATGGATCAACATAGAAGCCAAACTTAGATTTATGGGTCTCATATTCATAGAGTAGTTTTACACCATCTTGGGACTATTTGGTAGTTGTTGAATGATTTAATACAATATGATTAAGTAGTCAGAGTAATTACAAAACTCTTCTGATATAGTGTAAAATGAAATATGGTTGTTTAGTAATTGTTCATAATGAAATTAGGCGCTGAATGGTTCAAAGAGGCCCAAGATACAAACTCATCCAAAGTGTTTTATAACTATTAAGAGACATATTTTTTTTTTGTCAAACAAAATTCAACTCTTAACCATTCAAATGTTGTCTCGTAATGCAACTATTAAAAGATAAACAAACAACTCATAAACCATTTTAGCATCATTTTCAACCTAGCCATTGAAAATATTAAAAATGATGGGTCTATTGAACACTAAAAAAATTCAACTATCGTGTCACTATTTTTTCTCCCAAATTAACATTTAACATGCAAAATAACGGATTATATCGTCATATGAAGTTGATTTCAAACAGTATATCAATCAACTTCGGTTCTAAGTTTTGGTCAAACGTGAACTATACATATAATGTTTCATTTTGTTACATTTAATTAATTTTGAGGTTCAACTCAAGTGTGGAATGTATACGACATCATATAAGCAGGAGTTCAAATCTTTTATAGAGACAAGAATTTTCGAAAAGATTAAGAAAAATATTCCTGGTTATTATTCTTAGGGGCCGTTTACCAAACACTTACCTGAGTTTGCGTTTACCAAGTCATATTACCTCATCGGATGAATATGGTAAAGACTAAGAATCTTACCTGGTAAAAGCGAGACAAGGACCATGAGTCTTACCCGATAAGTGAGAGCGACGACTCTTACCACAGTAAACGCTTATCGGGTGAATTATTGCATACAATATCGTTTTGATGGATTAAAATCTTATCCGGTAAGTAAATAATAATGTTAAATTTTACCGGCAAACACTTACCGGGTAAGTGCTTGGTAAACATCCCCTTAGTCCCATAAACTCAATCGGGATAAAGCATAAACCGGACCGAACACCAATGAGTGAAGAACTTAATAATCAGTACCATTATTAAATTAAACAAAAAGTGATGATCGAGCAGACCTACATTGAAAAATACGCAACCTACCGCTTAATGGTTCTGTCATGAGGAAAAAATGTTACTAAAACATGTCACTATATTGCTTTGCTGAACGTTACCATATAGTTTTTAAAACCAAAGTAATCAACTTAAATTTTGGTACCTTCTTATAAACCCTTGTAATTTTAACAATTTATCGATAAATAATTAATTAACAGATCTAAAAAATCAAAATATCTATACTATATTATTAAACATTTGACCAAAACTTTTAAAAACTATTTTTTATATATAAATTACTTTTTATTGATGCATATTACTTAAAATTCAAAATTACTAGTAAATAACTATTTTTAAGTTTAATCCTATCAAGAAAATAATCCAAAACAAGAAGCAACACAAGATAACATTAATTAATATTACAATAAAAAAACAAAAAATTTACACATAAAACACTACATATTAGTATAGTAGTAGCTCACATCGACCGTTCATTCTTTTTGATCTAACGGATTAGAACAAGGGTACACAGTAAAGACAGGATAGCTACTATACGGCTTTTATCATAAGCAAAAACCACTTCAAACAGGATACGTGGCGATCTATGAAAGAGAGTACGGTATTTACAGTCACCCACCGATCACTTTAGCAGCTTAACGATGCTTGCTCCTTGTTTCCCCACTGTACAGCCTACGTTCACAGATACGAATCCCCAAATTATGAACCAAATGTTTAATCAAATAATCTAAAAATACATATTAATAGCATTAATTATTGATGATGATCAACTTCATCGAGATCTGATTTCAAAAAGCTAATCATCAATGATCAATTAGAAATCCATGTTTGATTGATCATGAAAGAGGTTTTGAAGCTGTTTCCAGAATCATAGATTAAAGGTGATTTGAATCATCGTTTTGTTTTAGGAATTGATCATAAAAAAAGCAAATAATGATGAAGAACATGATTAATTATTACCAGTCGTAAACAGTGGGAGATCCGACGGATTTAGGGCTGTCAAAGTAATTAGATCCGATGCCTTTAGTAGCCAGGTTACTACCGGGGTTAAACACACTCCTCCACACATTATCCTTACGCGCCGCCGTTGGTGACGGAGTCGTAGGAGTTCCTGGCGTCGTCGGAGTCGCCGGCATCGATAGAGACTTATGGAATTTACTGCTTCCTTCTCCTACATATCACAAATTTTAACCTAAACGTCAGATCTGAGTTTCAAACCAGTCGATCACAAGTTTTCACGCATCCGTACGATCTCAAATTTCCAAACAAATTCAACTAATCGATTAAAATCTGTATAGCAATTAGAATATATTTGATTGATCAACTGTTAGACCGATCTAATTTCGTACTTCACAGAAACTATGAACATGATCGCCGATACACGTGAAGATGATAATGTATGGAATGGAAAGAATAGCGATGGATGCATGGAGGAATCACCACCTTTATTGGTGACGGTGTCGACCTTCCGGAGCTTGCCAAGGCCGCGCTGTGGCTGAGGTCCGGCGACAACTTCGTCCCACATCTGATCTATAAGAACCATGGCAGCTGGTTGATTAATCATGAATGGTGTTCTTGAAGGATGAAGCTACTTGAGTTGCTATATATAGAATGATGAAATATCTTGGCTGCCTCTAAACTCATCCATGGTTATCTTCTTAACTGTGGTTAGTGTTTACAGTTTTGCTATTTCCAGGCCACAAAAACCATTATCAAGTCTTCCCTCCAAATATTGATTTTTAATTTAATCACTAAGTTTAAAAATTATTAAAGAAAGTATTAAAACTATTAAAAAAAACTCAATTAGGTTGTTACTTTTTGTAGTTAATTTAAGAATGATGAGCAATAACCTCAAGGGTCGTGTCTGATTGATTTGAGCTTGCTTCAAAGGTCAAAAGTATTAGGAGGTTCAAGGTTTAAATTCAAAGAAGAATAAAAATCATCTTGTGGCCACGGAGGTTCAAATGCGGTGACTCCGAGCTATCTGCAAAGCAGGTGGTCGTCCTGTGATTAGTCGGCTCGTATAGCGGGTTGGATATCCACGTTAATAAAAAAAATGATGATCAATTAGAGCATGTTTACCAAATGGTTATTGGGTATATATATTTATCGGTAAAATTTCTTATTTTCGGTTGTCAAAATAGATTGTTGATAAACGTTTTTTTATTAGACAAGTGTTTATTGGTAATAATTTCTTTTTCTCACTTAACTGATATCTTGGTCTCGCCATGTCATTAACCAGGTAAGATTCTCGACTCTTGTCATAGGCATTCGACAAAGTACCAAGTGACATCCGATAAGGTAAGTGTTTGGTAAATAACCCAATACCTTATTTGAGATTTTAAATGAAAATTGACCAAAATAACCAATCTCCCAAACGGTATTAGTGGGATTCATTTTTGAAACTGAATTCCCAATTTAGCCGTTGTTTCATGCAAGGCCATTGAAGTTTTTCCATACTATTTTTCAGGACCAATAAAATTAATCGAGGTATGTATAAATTGAGCTGAAAAAAGGGTGTATTTGGGATAGCTTATAAAAACAACTTATTGACTTATTTCAGTGTGACACCGGTAATAAACATTTTTAAGTGTTTGGATAAACAGCTTATACCGATACCAAACCAATAATAAAAAAAAAATTAAATCATTTTAACTTATAATAAGTTAATAAAGACTTATATAAAAAAATACTAGTTGTGTACTCGCGCAATGCGGCGGGAGCCGTGAATTTAACGATTTTGAAGTTTCACTGGTTTTATTAGAGAATATTTAACGATGATATAAGTTACACATGGTCTTTACATATTAATACAATTTGAATAAATAAGAGTTATGGTTTCAATTACAGTCTATCGATGAAAAAAATGTATACAGTTTAAAATCCAATATATTTAAAATCTAACATATTTAAACGACTCCACAAATATGTTCGATTTACACCAAGAGCAAAGAATCAAGAGATCGAGAACAATACTAAGAGTTCTAGAGCAATTGAATGAGAGATGAATGAAATAACTTTTAACAACCCATGATGAATATCAGTTTGAATCTCACATTAGGGAATGAGGAGAAGACATAGAGAAATGAAATAGTGAAGACATAGTAAAAAGTGTCAAAAGTATTTTGCAAACATGAAAAAAAAAAGATAATAATGTTCATTAGTAACTTGCACTCTATGTTATTTTAATTATAGATTAAGAGATTTTAAAATTAAATATATAAAGTAGTAATACTTAATGTATTATAAGTTATTTTTAAAATTTTTAAGACTTTGCACATACATATATAATACTTTGTACATTAAAAATTATTTTTAAAACTTTTAATAAATTTAATTTATAAAATAAAATAAATAAGTTGTTTCAAATAAGTAATTCCAGAAGAAAAAAAAAAAATTTTGAACTTACATCGAACAAAATTTCAATGAATGAATGTGGGTCCCACAAGACCTCTATTTTGGCAATAAAAGACAAAAATGAATTATGAGGGTGTGTGGAAAAGAAGAAGTGAGAGTGGAAATGGATAAAATCAACGTGGATAAGGATGAAGAGATGGGGCCCAGTAAGATAGTATCTTCACTCTCAGTAACCAGTAGGTGACGGCCGTTGTACACGTGTTACTATAATTACGTAAATAGTCCCTATAAAATATGTCAACCTTCACGTTTGTTACTTTAATTTGAAACTCTTACAAATGTCATCCACTTTTCGATTATATCAAAGTGGCATAAAATATAAGATTTCAACCTTCAATGGTTAAAAATAGGGGTGAACAATAATTGATCGTCCATCGAAAGTCAACCTGAGCTGACGTGATGTTTCATTGGTTTATAAAATGTACAAATCGATAAGAGTGAGATTAGGGCCAGATTCATGTCGTATCTAACCAATAAGTGAAACCCGATAAGGCTACCAGCCAATCAAAAATTCTATTAATCCTTAATTTGAAATATGTTTCTACGTATTCCAAACCCTCAACCTCGAGTGCACAAGTTTGAAAGGTTTGTGATGTAAACCTTATGGAGCAAACAATTTCTAGACTTCACTTGTATTCACAATGAATTTCACTTTCAAGATAATGGTTTCTCAATAACTGGTCCAACCTCATTTAAAAGATACATTTTCTTTTCTGTCTTAATCTCATGGGAATATCGTTTTTCATGCATAAGATGTATATCTTATTATTGATTCTTGATAATTTCTTGTACGAGTCTTAAGCACACTTATCCCGATATTAGTTTTTTTTTTTTTATTAACCTGGATATCCAACCTGCTTTCAGAGCCCGGAGTCACCGCATTTGAACCTCTGTGGCCACAAGGGGATTTTTATTTGGATTTAAATCTGGGACCTCTTGGTACTTTTAACCTTTGAGGTATCCCGATATTAGTTTTTAATGCATATGACAACATATATGTAAACAAAAGCACTAACAAAAAAATGTATATGAGCAAGCTAACAAGTAATAGTGACGATGTTATATTGGACAATTTCTCAGAATGGGGTTCCATGTGGGTCCGATTAGGGTTGTTAGTAATCAAGTTTTTGTCCATATTGGATAGTTTGTATAAGAAACATTATGATTTAAACTAAGATGAGGAAAGTGTAAACTGAGGCATAGTTGAGGGACCATTTTGTAATATACTATAAATCAAAAGTTGTCTTGTTGTTTTTGTTGTTGGTGTGTCGACATCATTGACACGTGACAACCTCATCGTTAACAGCCGTTAGTTTGATTAAAAACAAGGTGCCAAAAGTAATTTTATTATTAAATATAATGTGTGTAATTATTTAATTATAGACCAAATTACATTTTTACCCCCTATAGGAAACTTAATATTTTTGTTTCGATTTTCATCCCTATATTTTCATTTTTATAATTTACAATTTATTGTTATTTTCATCCCTCATATTTAAAGACATAGCTTCAAAGACGGAAATAACAATGAATTACAAATCATAGCAATGAAAATCGCAATTTCAAACCCATAAGGATGAAAGTCTCGGTTCAATTAAGCCTCTAGCATGTAGCTCAGTTGACAAAGAGGTAGAGTGACATTTATCCAAATACATGACAGATCCTTGGTTTGATCATAGACCCCTCCCCCCTACTAGCCTCAGCCCTTGAGGGCTGAGAAAGCTAACAAATGTCCCTCCACATTGATGTCCTTGGAGACAAGTTTTGTGTGAGACTGATTGAGATTGCACGTAATCAAATTTTTGTCTAAATACATACGAAAGTCACAATTTTTTTAACAGACCACAGGGATAGAAAACATAATTTACTGTATATTATAAAACATAAGTAATTCACTGCAAAACATGATTAAAAGTATGGGTGATGACCTTGAAATTAACTTTTTCAAATACATTGAAAGAGTTTTTAAATTAAAAGAATATATTTTTCCTAATTTTTCGGATCAGGATTATATTTTTGGTCTAGAAAGTAAGCATAAAACTTACTTAACGAGAGTAAAGAAAACTATTAGGAGTATTCATCCTCCTGATATGAATTTAATTATAAATAGGGATAATGAAGAAATCTCAGCTTCACCCTACAAAAAATCTTCTTCAATAGAATCTGTTATTGAACAGAATAATTACATCAATCTATCTCTTCAATCTATTAGAGAACAATTAGATAGAATTGAAAATGGAAAATTAAATAATTTTCCTGAGTGTTCATCAACACATGTTCCATTCCAAGTTGATTTTCAAGTTGTAAAGGTAAATTTGTCTTACATCAAAATGGTTTATGTGTTTTAACCAAACAAGAGGTTGTCCTAAATTTGTCTTAATATTCGTTTTCTTATATAAGGAATTGGTTGGAATGTTTCTCCTAATTTGGAGAGATTTTTATGAGAAATAAATATTTCTCATCTTACCACCCAAGATCCTTCATAAAGTACAACAAACCAAAAAGAATGGTTTTTTAAAGTAGGATTTGTTTTAACAAAATCTTCATATATAGATCTAATTTTGTCAGGTAGACAAATAAGATATAATCCCCATTGAGTAAACCAGGTTATAAACCAGTTAGGAAATTGTTCTCCTTGGGTGAATTTTGAAAATTGTATCCACCATGAGAATTTCCTTTGCCTGTTTTCGTAATAGAAAGCATGTTCCCATGCATTGATATAATCAAAATAGTTGAATCGAAGAGTAGTGATTCGATTCCTTAGGGTTTTGGTAAATTCATATTGTTTGAACAAATCACCTTCCCACTTATCGGGTCTAATTACTTTTCTGATTATAGCTTTGCTATAAGCAATTTCATCACTTCCTCTTTTAGTTGATTAGAATTCCACTGAATTAGTGGTGACTAAAATATCTTGAAAATACTAAAAGTCTTTTGGATAAACAAAAGAATCAACATAATTTTTTAAAATCAAATGCAGAAACCTCATTAGTTTTTAAATGAGCATATTTGCTTTCTTTGGGTATTACCCAATTTGTAGAGATTGGGATATATGGGAAAATATATTCTCCTGGATGTGATGCATTAATAGCTAGCTTATAAGCATCTTCACGAAGTCTCTCAGCAGGCGGGGTTTCATTGATCTTTTGTTTTTTAACTTGGTCTGCCGGAGTCATTGTAATAGATTTAAACGAAGTTTTACTTCCTCCTTGAGTTGGGGGTTTTACCACTTGTTTTTGGGCTTTATCCGGCCGTTTGCTCATTTTTACCCTGCAAAAATTCACGAGTTAGGAAATCTGGAAGAGAATTTGATTCATCTAAAATAAACTCAATATCAAAGTCAAATATTGACATAATGGTCTGCCATCTAGCAAATATTTGCTTAGAGGCTATGTTTTTAACATCTTTTAATAAAATTTCTTTGGCAGATTTACAATCTATTCTAATAAGAAATTTTTGATTTATTAAATCAGATTCGAAATTGTGTATTGTTAGTACTATACTCAAAATTTCTTTTTTAACAGTAAAGTAATCAACTCTTGATCCATGCCATATTCCAAACGTAAATCAAACTAATTGTTCTTTGCCTTTAAGGCGTTGCTTTAGAATACCACCATATCCTATATCCGAAGCATCAGTTTCTACTATCTTAAAAGCTTCAGGATTAGGCAGTGCTAAACAAGGAATTTTCTTAATTTGTTGTTTAATCCTTTTGACTGCATTAGTATGCTCATTAGTCCATGCTGGAGGATTATTTCTTAACCTTTCATATAAAGGTTTAGCGATAAAGCAAATAGGATTATTCCATGATGTAAGACAAATTTACCTTTCCAACTTGAAAATCAACTTGGAATGGAACATGTGTTTATGAACAATCAGGAAAATTATTTAATTTTCCATTTTCAATTTTATCTAATTGTTCTCCAATAGATTGAAGAGATAGATTGGTGTAATTATTCTGTTCAATAACAGATTCTATTGAAGATGATTTTTTGTAGGGTGAAGCTGAGATTTCTTCAATATCCCTATTTATAATTAAATTCATATCAGGAGGATGAATACTCCTAATAGTTTTTTTTTACTCTCGTTAAGTAAGTTTTATACTTACTTTCTAGACCAAGAATATAATCCTGATCCGAAAAATTAGGAAAAATATATCCTTTTAATTTAAAAACTCTTTCAATGTATTCGAAAAAGTTAATTTCAATGTCATCACCCATACTTTTAATCATGTATTCAAACCTGTTAAAGTATAACTGTTTGAATTCATCATTTTGGGTTAAAAACCATTTTCTTTTTAATTCATTTTCTAGAGAATAAAATTCTTTTTCAAATCGTCCAGAAAAAGGAAATTCTTTTTCTTGTTTTGATAAAACATTTATTCCATAATCTTCAGTATAACCCATATCTGAAGCTGTTGGAGAATGAGGAATTTTACTCGCTGAGAAACTATGAATTTCAACCTTATAAATTGGTTGACAAACTTCGTCTTTAGTAAAATTTGTTCTTACAACAGATTCCTTCTCATAAGAAGAAGTTGGAATTGAAGATGTAGAATATCTAGATGAATATGACTTCAATCTAGTAATTCTATCTTTCGAAAATCTTAATTCAACATCCCCGTCGGGATATTCAATTATTTTTTCCAACTTATTATTTTCAGCTTTCTTAGGCTCATTAGCCTGTTCCAAAATCCATTGCTCAGGTAGACTGACTTCATTCCAAGAAATGGTTTTAGGAATAATAGTATTGCTTTTAGTAATATTAGTAATAAATATAGTTGTTTCCCCCTTTTTGATTTAAATCTAAACTTTGTTTAATATTAGGGACAACTGTATTCATTACTTTGTAATGGATCCTATAAATAAGGATTACGTTTTCCGATCCAGGGAGCATATCATAACCTTCAGATTTAATATCTAGAGTTAGAGTATGCATAAGATGCGGATCACTTAAAGATAAAGTAAAATTTGGAAAACACGAAAAATAAATCGGTCTGTCGCATAGACTAGATTCTATAACTCCTAAGAGTGAATCTTGAAATTTACGATGTATTTTGTCTCTTAGACAAATAAGTGCTGAGGTATTTAAACCTAATCTGGTTGCAGGTTCAAGGCTACTTGAACCATTCCCAAATGCAAAAATTTATATTTTTGCTGAAACCTTGTGATTTAGGAATAGCCTCTTTCATAGTTTTAATAATATAATCGTTTTTAAACGAAAAATTTGATTTATAAATCTCATTTGAACTAGTTTTTGGTAATTTTCAATTACATAGATCATAATCTATGTTTTCCTTTATAATTAATTCTTTGTTTCTTTAGAAACAGAAGATGAAGAGAATGAAGATTGAGAAGAATTTTGTCTTCTCAAGGTTCTTATTAAATCACTCATTAATTCAAGACTCTCATCAACAGTCAACGACTTTTACAAGATCACCTATTCGAGCCTCACCTTGGGACTTACCGTCAGGATCTAAACGCGACTAACAAATCAAAGAGACTTAAATAATTAGTAAAATAACAATTACCTTGATAAAAGAGTTGTTCTTCGTTAATCTTCAAGTAGAAAGTCTTCAGATGGCTCTGATACCAAATTTTACAGGATCAACTATACAGGATCGCTCTATATAAGTACACAAAGGCCATCTTTTATTAATATCAAACTATAATACAAAGGATTACAAAATTGTTATATATATATATATATATAGAGAGAGAGAGAGAGAGAGAGAGAGAGAACTCTAAAAATTGCACAACAAAAATGAAAAAAAAAACAATCGGCTATATAAAGACCGAAAAAGCAGAAGAACAGTAAATACAATAATTGAGGTGCTGACGTCATTGCATGTGTCATATGAACAGTAACCTCAATAATTTGATGTTGACGTTATCGCATACATCATCTTCTAGAAATATTATATGCCATTAATTACGCCAAAAACCGAAGCTTTTAGCTCTTAATCTTTAAAGGGATCTTGGACATCTTGCTCGTCCATAAGATTATCTTCTTGATCAGAATTTCCGTGGCTTCTAGTTGAGGAAGAGGAACCAGCTTCTTCCATTTCTGTGTCCTCTCTTAAGAGTGAAATGATTTTTTGCAAATCCTCTTTAGGAACCTTTGAGGTAAACTCTTTCAGCCAATCAGATAATTGTGGCTGTGGTGGTTTTGGAGGTTCAAGATTAATTAATCCTCTGATGAAAAAAATTGAATTTTCGAAAAAAATTGAATTTAGCCCACCATTTGATTAATATTCGTTTTCCTATATAAGGAATTGGTTGGAATGTTTCTCCTAATTTGGAGAGATTTTTATGAGAAATAAATATTTCTCATCTTACCACCCAGGGTACTTCATAAAGTACAACAAACCAAAAATGAATGGTTTTTTAAAGTAGGATTTGTTTTAACAAAATCTTCATATATAGATCTAATTTTGTCAGGTAGACAAATATGATATAATCCCCATTGAGTAAACCATGTTATAAACCAGTTAGAAAATTGTTCTCCTTGCGTGAATTTTGAAAGTTGTATCCACCATGAGAATTTCCTTTGCCTGTTTTCGTAATAGAAAGCATGTTCCCAGGCATTGATATAATCAAAATAGTTGAATCGAAGAGTAGTGATTCAATTCCTTAGGGTTTTGGTAAATTCGTATTGTTTGAACAAATCACCTTCTCACTGATCGGGTCTAATTACCTTTCTAATTATAGCTTTGCTATAAGCAATTTCATCACTTCCTCTTTTAGTTGATTCGAATTCCACTGAATTAGTGGCGACTAAAATATCTTGAAAATACTGAAAGTCTTTTGGATAAATAAAAGAATCAGCATAATTTTTAAAATAAAATGCAGAAACCTCATTAGGTTTTAAATGAGCATATTTGCTTTCTATGGGTATTACCCATTTTGTAGAGATTGGGATATATGAGAAAATATATTCTCCTGGATGTGATGCATCAATAGCTAGCTTATAAGCATCTTCACGAAGTCTCT